GAGGATTATATTCTGTGGGTCTACTGCATAATCACTAAATTAAGTTTATTCTGTAAAAATGTTTTTCAACATCTCACTTTTTTGAATTTTTTTTTTCTTCAAGTACATATTAATCAAGCTAACTACTTGAAGAAGTCTAATACATTGTTTAGAAATGAAATAGTTTGTGAAATATTTTTTATCTGAATAACAATACTTTTATACATTATAGACATTTAAGATATCAATAACAAACAATGGAATGAAACAACCAATTCTTAGTATATAAAGAAATGTAAATGCTGATTAAGAAATAGAATGTAAGAAATTATTTTTCAAACATATAGAAAAAATATAATGTGAAGAAACATTAAGGTCATTCAGGACAAATGTTATACTGTGACACTACAAAATCAAAATAATAAAGAACATATTAAAAACAAGAAATGAGTGAAGTTTATTTATATATATAAATAAATAATCGAGAAAATGGTTTTTACTAATATATAATAGATATGATTTTCAGTGTTTCTAAATAGTTTTCATTCCCACTTGAAAGATACTTTTTTGATGTTGGTCCCCAAGAGAGGTATTTTCTGAAGAGACTAAGCAATTAAACTTATTGGTTCAGTTGGAACATTAGCAGGTAATTTAAGTATACAATTTGCAAAATAAATATAATTCTAAATATATTAATAATAGTACTTAATCCTGAAGTTATTCTACACACTTTAACTTTTATGTCAATAAAAAGACAAATTACTCATCCATATGCATAATTTAAAAGGTTTTTAAAGTAAAAAGTACAAATTCATTCACAGCCTGGTATTAGAAAAAGATCAGCCCTTCCAAGTACCAGTATAAAGACATTACATTGTATTAGTTCTGTACTTAAGTCAATCAAATGATTTTTGGCTAAAATAATACCATGTAAATACCTTTGATATAAATAAATTGGCTGTTTTTTGTTTTTCTTTTGTAATACAATTTAAATACTTCAGCAGTTTGAAATATTTTTTTTAGTTTGGAATAATTATAACATACATATCTCATACAAAATACAAACACACACACACACTGCTCTCTTTACAAAATATAGGTGTTTAAAACTTACTTAGAATCTTTTAGATAATATTTCCACTACAGCTTTCAGAGTAGATGTGGTTTCAAATAAATTATAGATTTTAGATTACAGTCATTAATGTCATGCTAATATTTTCTTATGCTTACTTGGAATGGACTAGTCAAAGTCTGGAATATCATCAAAGGAGTAGCCAGGATATCTGCGATATGCATAATAAACAATTCTCACATGGTATCCACCCGGAATGAACATTATGGATCCCAGAAAAATTAGAAGCCAGGTACTGTCAGTGTGCTAGAATACATAAAAGATTATCAAAATACTTGTATATCAATTTATAGCAAAGAATACAGAATAAAACTGCAATTTTTTAACTAAACTTGTTTTTTATACTGTACAGATAGAAATGTGTATACTAACAAAATAACATGAGAACTACACAATGAGCTCCCATTAATGTATCCATTTAGCATAAAAATGTCTAACAAAAGAGAAAGAAAACCAACTTACAGTCTATAAAATGTTTTTTCCCAAGGGCCTCAATAAAATATTGCATCAAATTAACATTTTAGTAGCAAGATTATTTACTGAATAATTAGGCCATTTTGAACAATCAACTCTGAAAAAAAAATCTTACTTGCAAAATAAATTTCTGAGCAGTTATTGAAATAATTGTCTCTGGTGATGTAACTACAAAAAGTAAGTATGCTTAAAGACTCCATTAAAACACACAGCAAACTGTTTAGTTTTGCAAAAAATAATGTACTCTAAAGTTGTAATAATCTATTTCCACTCAGTAGATAATTTTTCTACTTCAAACAAACCAATCATGGATATTGACCAAAACCTGAGGAATCCTTTTTACAGATTTCAAATAAATCCCCCAATTGTTTATGTCAGAAAGCATTTACTGTATATTTTTAATAGTTGAATCATTAGAAAGCTAAACCTCGTGTAACCCTTGTGTATCGAACAAAAGTTTAAATGAATCTGAACTAATAGCACAAACTTAATCTTCAAACAAGACATTCTACATGATTACAACTAACCAAAAAAAAAAAAACTTTAGCTTAAGTAAAAATACACATACAGGTTTTAAAAAATATTGTCTTTCATATTCAAATTTACATTTCCTACCTTATCATTCCAGCACAGATTGTTCAAACCCATAAGTTTAAACATCTGAATGAAGTTACCTCTTTTCCTTCTGAGTTTCAGAAAAAAAGAAGTCCAAAACTCATACCTCAAAGTTCCTTAAATTAAATATCACTAACAGCTTGTCTTTCTATCCTTTTTGTAGTAGAAACTACAAAACTTCATACATTTCTCCAAATGATCTATCACCAGAATCTTTCTACAGTGTATAAAATACCACGCTTTTCACATATTATGCAATAAATGATACACTCAGTAGCATATATAAAGGATTGTCTTATGTTGAAGGTTATAATTTTTCTATACTGAAAATGTATGTTCGATAGGTACTTACCTCCTCTCATCAGGTAATGATGACAAAACCTTGTCAAAACATTGTACATTTGCTGTTATGTTAAACTTTTATAAAAGTTTTTCTTCATAACCCATTCAAGCCGTCTCCAGCCATTATTAATCTCAAAGTGGGTTCCTCGTCACCGAATTTGAGTTTACCTCCTCTCACTTAAATTCAGTGCTGCCCTCTATATGCAAAAAAAAATTATGCATGCCACAAGCCTTCTATCTCTCCTCCGTTGGAATCGACTGATTCCGATGTGTCTCTCATGCTAATCATCATGCATCAACTTTCCACCGAGTGCAACATACACTCATGAAGCATGAGACTCCGTCTATTCCATTCTACCTAAAAATCATTTTGTGTTTTGGCAGAAGATGGAAGCACCAGTTTTCAGTGGGGAGGAAGGATGGGAAGTGTGATAAGAGGTTAGTACCTATCTGAAATACATTTTTAGCGAAGGTAAAATTATAATTTCTGATTACATTATCTCTGCTCACATAAATGACTATATTCCCACAATGAATAAGTGGAGGGAAAGAAAGAAGCTCCCCTTGAAAGCATCCAAAGGACACTCCCTAAGATGAAACAGTAAGATTCTAAGATCTGATGTGGGGAACTGCACCATTTTTGAACCAGGTATAATCTTTGCCCATCGCATAAAGATGTTACATATGTGGGCAGAAAATTGTGCCCCTAGGTGTAGAATGGCTAGGGTGTGAGACCGTACACGGCAAGTCAATTACATCCAAAACCCATGCTGCTGGGAACTGACATCCATGTAGGGGTAGGATGAGGATCATACATCAGTAAGTCAACTGCAATCGAAAACCCAGCCATTTGACAAGGGTAGGAAAAAGGATCATACTGTCTCCACCTCAAGTTCATGAAACTGGATGGAATCTAGTACCCCCTCCCCCACCAACTCATGTGAATATGATAAATTGATAGATCGACCTGGGAACCCAACATCTGGTATCGAAAAGTTGTCTTCATAATGTAAACCACATCCCTCAAAAGTGAAATTGACCGGAACCATCTCAAGCGCATTAATATCCTCGGAACAACAAACATCAAGGGATAGTGGAAGGGAATGAACCGTAACAATCCACAATTACATCCATCGTGAACCACAACACTGATGGAGTATAAATGAGGGAGGAATAGACATCTGTAATACATATGTGAGGATTTATGTTGATTGGTTCTACTCTAAGTCCAAAACATGGTCACTGGTAGCAAACATCCACATGGGGGTAGGATGAGGGATCCCAATCAAAGGGGTGAACTGCAATTTTGACGTCTCACTTCCATTTGTATTTATATTTCATATTGGAGGATATCATGTCATCTACACCAGCAGAACACCACCACCCTACTCTCAACTGAATGGTTTTATAATCATTTTTTGTTTTTTGATTGTATTTCATTAATCCATTCTGGAGGATGCCTCCATGGTCCACCACCTCAGCAGCTTGGAACTTGAAAGTGGTAAGGACTCTCAAACTCCCCTAGAAGAAAAGGGGGGTAAAATGCAGCGGAGAGTCTGGAAGAACAACAACAGTGCAATGGGTGACCATGAAACCCTATTTTTAAATGCAGCCCATACCAATTTATTCAATAGAAGGCATGGCAGAGAAGGGCAGCTATTTCCTTCTGCTTTAACTATGCAGGTGGGTACAATCTGAGATGGGCAAACTTATGAAGCAATTGTATCACGAGGATAAGCCTACATGCAATCTTGTAGAATGCCTCATCTCTGCAGTGTGCATTGCATGGCCATGGAATAATAATTTGCAGGCTGACATGGTTTGACAGTGTGGATTTGAAAGGTTAAAGAATACCTGGTCAGGCACCACTGGCCATGGAGTGGGATCCAAACAATGAGCAATAATAATAATAAAATGGGAATAAGACCCCTGAAAATAAAATAAAAAATAATTTACACAGTCAAAGTCTCACTGAAGTCTGAAAAATGGTTACAAGTGGAAGACAACAGTCTGAAAAGGAAGAAACTGCTATCCTATGGAAATAATGAGAGACGAACATGTTAGGAGTAGTCCACATGCCCAATTGAAGAATGTCCTCCAAAGGATGACAAAGATGAGATGCCAGAGAAAAGGTAAGGTGTCTAATTTGATTAAAAGACACCTGGAACAAAGTACTGGAGGAAGATGATAAAAAGGAATAAGTCAATTGAATCAAAAGCCAAACCCAACTGGTGAAAATGGAAGGAAAAAGATCATGAACAGAGGAAGGCTGCCAAGTAGGAAAGGGTACCACGGAAGGAAGCCCTGTGGGCAATATAACAGAGAAGAACATGTACAGGACAAGGATAATGGTGGGAAAATGAAGGAAGGAAAATCAATGAAAAGGAGGAGTTACCCTCCCTAGCCACTGAAGTTTTGGGGGAAAACGAATGATCTGGATAAAGGAGAATATATGTAGGATGATAAAGAGTACGTGAAACGTATATGGCAAATAAATCAGACCTTTGAGTCCACAGGAGAAGAAAATAAGTCTTAAGGGAAAGGTGAAACAAAGAACACATGGAAACTGGTTTGAATGGAGACAAAGTGAGGCAGTGAAGGACCATATTAACATCCTAGTCCAGAAGGGTAGCCTGCTGTGGTGGACAATGAATTAGGAAGAAACACATCAATAGGGAAAGGGTTAAAGAGGTAAAAACCCTATGGTATCAAGAAAAATGAAAGGTGTGGAACAAAGCCACCGGATAACCCGGGATCGAGAAAGCAGAAGACCCCTGATAGAAAAGACAAGTAAGAGATTCTGCAATACAAGAAACAGTGGGTCTATCAGTGGAAAACCCTCGACCCATAGACCAACTGAGGAAAACATTCCATTTACATTGATAAACTTCCATGGAGGAAGGTTTGTTTGTTTGGAATTTTGTTCAAAGCTACACGAGGGCTCTCTGCACTAACTGTCTCTAATTTAGCAGTATAAAACTAGAGGGAAGGCATATAGTCATCCCAACCAACTGCCAACTCTTGGGCTACTTACCAATGTATAGGAGGAATGACCATCACACGACTGAAAAGGTGAGCATGTTTGGTGGAATGAGCCAGAAATGAAGTTACTCGCCATGACAAGTCAGATCTCTCCACCAAGAACCAGATAAGACACCAGGTGTGAAGACATAGGTCATTAAGGGCTGAATGAAGCACTGGTGACAGAGGTTGATGAAGAATGGATGAGACAAAGGAAGAGGTAAGGAGAGGTAAGTTGGAACTAGAGAAGCTGCAGAAACCAGGGCTGAGCTGGCCAGTAAGGAGCAAACAGAAGTACTTGACACAGAGTGATATGAATGATCAAAATCACCCAGTGAAAAAGTCTAATGGGAGGATAAACATTGAATATTTGTTGTTCCATTCCTGGCTGAAAACATTGACAACCAGAGCAAGAGGATGAGGGACTGGAGACCAAAACAGAAGTAATTTGTGGCTGAGGGATGTGGCAAAAGCATCTATGTGAGGAGTATCCCACTGAAGGTAAAACTACTGAAAAACAAGAGGATCAAGAGACAATTCCATCACATAGATTTTGTCTGGGCAGGAAAGCTGATCAGCAACAAGATTGGAAGCACCCAAAACATGACATGCAATGATATAAATATCTTGAGTGTGGGCACAAATAAAGGAGACCTAATGTATGAATACAGAGGGATTGAGAACAGGTGTCACCCTGGTGATTGCAATAAGCAACCACTGTAGAATTGTCAGAATGGATGATTTCTGGCCAGATGGAGAGAATGAACCAAAGCTCCAGGATGTTCATATGATAA